TTCGGCACAAAACGAAGGATTTTTAAAGCACAATCCAAATCCTTTTGCCGAATAAGTCGCATCACCAAAGCCATTTTGCTAAAAAAAGTAAGGTTTTAAAACTCCTTTTCCTTTTTTCATAACAAATCAAGGTTTTTGTTTATGTATTTGTGCTTGTCTTCTTCTAAATACGCTTTGCCAAAATTAATCGTTTGGTCGATTATCATTTTGGCTACCGCCGGGTCTTGACCTACTAATAATTCGTAAGCCGCAAAAATTAATAAGGCTTTCTCCAACGGGGGCAAACAGGAAAAATCTCAGCCCACTTTGAGATTTTTAGTAATTTTTTCCCGTAATCAAGTTTCTTTTTTTAGACAATTATTTAGCCAAGTGATTCGTTCGTGGTCTTTGCTCGTTTCCGGCTTTTTTTCGTCCACCTCTCCTAGTAAATAATACTGATAGAGAAGGAAAATTTTTCTCTTATCGAGGCGAAACATGGTTGACCTCTACGAAAGTTCTCTTGCCTCGACCGGAAAAAAATCTTACTCAACCCTCACCAGCCGCGTGAATAGTATAATCCTTACCAAAATAAACACCCTTACCTAACTTATATTTACTGCCCCGCTGTCGCACAATAATACTACCGCTTTTCACGTATTCACCCCCGAATTTCTTGACCCCGAGATTTTTGGGATTATAGGATTTATGACTGCGATTAGTAGCCGCAGCCCCCCCTCCTTTTTTAGTAGCAAAAAATTGTAAATCTAATTTAAACGCTGGCATAATTTAATTGCTTAATATTATTTTACAGTGCAATAACCTCCACTTCTAACTTAATTTCCAGAAAAGAAAATAGTAGAGTTGTTCAACACAAAAACAAGCATTGCTGTTTATTTATTTAGGATAAATCTGCATTTGGCCTACTAATTCTTCCTTTCCTTGGGCTTGCTCTTGTTCTAACTTTATTTCTAAGCTAGTTATTTCAGTTTGTAGTTGGCAAAGTTGATTAATTTTTTTTTCATTTAATTGATTTTGGAGATTTTCTTGGGCTTGTTGCAATAGTCTTTCGCTCGGAGAACGAGTTTTTTGATTAGCCTCGGCCAAATAAATTAACTGCGCTTGAGCGGTTAAAAGATTTTTCAAGTGATTTTTGGAAATTTCCGTAGTTAATTTGCTTTTTAACTCGCTTTTTAATTGTCGTAGTTCTTGCTTCTTTTGTTGAATATTCGCAAATAATTCCCAATTGGCTTTTAATTCGGCTACGGCTAATTGCTGAATTACTTCATTTTCTCTTGTTAATTCCTTAATTAATTGTTCTTGCTGGCGATTTTGTCGACAGATTTGTAATAATTCTTTTTCTTCCTGGCTAAGAAAATCCTTATACCAATTATCCATAGTTTTCATAGCGGTTTCGTGGATTTCCCTTTCTTCCGCAATTTTTTTATCTAACTGCTGAATTATTTTTCTTTTGCTATCGACTTTTTCTCAGGCTAAATCTCATTTTAGTTCGTAATCATCCCTTTCCTCGTTTAATTCTTCTACTCGCTTTTGAAAAGCATTAGTAATTTTTCTTGCTCGGAAAGTTGGGTGGATAACTTTCGATTTTTGGTTTCTAATTCTGAGATTTTGGTTTGGCTGGCTTGATTTTCTTTCGTTAGTCTTGTTATTTCCTCAACCTTTTTTTGTAATTGCCTTTCATGATTTTTTGTCATTTCGGCTATTGTTTTTTTGATGTTTTTCTTCATTCTTCCATAGTTGTTCTTGTAAATTATCTCTTTCGTTGGCCAGTGTTGTGATTTGTAGCACTTTTTGAACTTAATGTTTCTTCTCAAT